GTGTTCTTACCATTACTGAAGAAAGAGTGCTTCAAATATGGATGGACAAATGGAGAAGCAACCTCAGTTCAAGAGTAGGTTAATGAGAAACTTTCATTTATTTACCCAGAAGGTAGTTTCAAAAATGGCTTAAATTATTTTGCTAAATGTATTAAAGCAATAATAAGATGTTTTAATTTTAGTTTGACAATAATATGAATTTATATATAACATTGTATTAATTTTTGACATTATTTTTATAATATTAATGATCCCAATTAACTCTAATAGGAAAATACTTATGTAATCTATAAAGTATATACCCTTCTAAAAATAATTAATCTTGATTTAATGAATTCATTTATTCTTATTATTTGAAAACACCAACACTACCTACAGTAAACACCACATAATCAACACTTTCTTTTGAAAAAAGTCTGTTCCTTTTATTCAGTTATTATTTAAGGCTTATAAGAGCAAAAACAAAACAAATGATTAAGTTTTGTACTCTTCCTAAATTCAGGATGCTGGTTAAAATAGAGTATTCTCTCTTCAACACTTTGCTAAAATTGTTTCAGAAAGCAGTAAAATGGATGGTTGTTCTCTTCCTATCAGATCCCTCACGTTGGATATTGTGCTCTGATCTCATCTACTGCCTACACGTAAACAAATGCTGGGTGTTTAGTCACATCCAATATTTTGATCTTTTACTGATAAATTTTCATAGATAATGTCTAATTTTATTTTGTGGTTGTTGTAGTACATGGACCTAATGAGCTCCATACTAAGCAAATTATTAATAATAGTACCCTGGAACTTGTGTGCTTCTTAAAAATATAATAGAAACTTGAAAGGTTGTGGTCTTTATATGATATAAAATTAAGTATACATGTAATAAACCACCCTAATTTGGCTGTCATTATACACACACATACACAGACACACACACATATTTTTAAAACCATTTTGTTCACATAGCCTTAGGTTTACCAATTCTAAAAAAGCATGAAGTTTGATTGTATTCTTAATCCAATCAGACAGTCTTTGAATTTTAATAGGGAAATTTAATCCATTTTTAATGGCTGTCATAAGTGTTACTTTGGTTGTCTATCATCTACTTAAAGGTTTCTATTTTTACTCTTTCCATTAACATGAAGTACATTTTATAGACTTTTAAAATTTTTAAGGGAATAAATAATGTCTCTCTTTTTACTAGTAATTACCTTTAAGTTTGAAATACGTTGTATAATTATCATGGCAGAAAGATTAAATAAGTATAGAATACCTAAAATTCACTGCTTCCAAGACCTTTCCTCCATTTTCCAATCTCTTTCATTTCCAGTGACTCAATATGCCAATAACTATACAATTCCAATCAAAATCACATTTCATTGTTGAGAATTATAATGTCCCAAGTAACTTAGAGCAGACAGAGCATTATGATGGAATTGAGAAGAAGAGAAATTATCCTGATCACCTCTGGCAGACCTTTCCATGCATTAGGGATATGGTTTTCCTCCCTTAAACGATGACTAGTCTAGGTTTCTAAAGTAGAAATGCTAAGTATGGGTGAAGTCCCATGAGTTCTAACTGGCCTTAGTGTTTTGCTTAATTTGCTTTTTTATCAGTGGGAATCTTGATGTCTGGCAGATTGTTGATTAATATTTCAATTTCTCTGCTACAGTTTTACATTTTTTTCCCACCTCCTATATGTAATGTAATGAGAAGTTAGGGGATGTCAAATTGGACAAGACTAGCTAGCTACCACCTTAACTCTAAAATTTGGAGAAACTTTTTAAAGAGTAGTATGTGGTTCTAACACTTAGAAATTTACCATGTAATCTGTATATATAAAATACGTTTTAACACTCTTGTTAGACATTAGATAAATTATTACAGTAAGGCAATGACTATCCTCCAAGGAAAGGGGGATTTATTTTCTTGAATATACCTTGATCTTCACTTAATATGTGCATCTCTGAAAGACTGGAACTTTCCATTTTTCTGGCAATTCTCTAGATTTTAAGTGCTTTGAATATGAAGGTCACTCATTGGTTTTTTGCTTCAGCTTTTTATCTGGTTATTTATTTTTTCCAGCCCATCAGGTTCTGGACATCACCTTGGGCATTTATAGCCTGGGTTCCTGTGCTAGGAGCTGGGCCTGGGCCTCCTAATTGCCTGAATTATCTTCCATTTTTGCATCTGGGACAAAGTCAAGTCCACAGGCAAGGTTAGGTGTTCTGGCTCCTGGTAAGCTTTTTGGGGACCCTTATGTAGTACCTGGGGAACCTTACAGAAGAGGTAGCTCTGGAGAGCTCAAAGAAAGAGTAGTGGAGTAGAGATGCATAGTGGGGACAGGAGAATTTCTTTCTGTGCTTACTAATAATTGGTTAGAATGATTGGATAATAGCTGTAATGGTTTGCTGACAATAATTGGAGAAATTTCTCCAAGTGATCATGTCAAGGACTTAATGAAATTATTCTCAGGTGGATGGCAACTAACAAAGACTCACAGCAACAAGAAGCTGTTCTCTGCTTATGAAATACCATGTCTTTGCTGTTGAAGAACATTTCTTATTTCCTAACCTTTGAAACACTCTTGATCAAGGGAATAGATCCTTATTTTATGAATAATCAGTTGACAACATGTTAGTTTGGAGAGATTATCACTTTTTGCCAAAGTCTATCCCATCTGCTCCACACTCTAATTACCAATAAAAGAAGGACCTAATTCACAATTGCATCATAAAAAAGTTAGATGTGATTTAAATGCATTTGTTTGTTTTTTATTTAAAGAAGTTTCGATGATGCATCTGTTACACATTTTTTCAGTATTTTGACAGATCATAAGAAAGTACTGGAATAGGTATGTAGCTGGTAAATATGCCAACGTTTCCAAAGAGACAGTTCCTATTAGTATATGAATGTTAAAAATCTGTGTAATTAACCATTAGATTAATGATTGAATAATGGAATTTTAATAGAGTTAGTGGGCATTTTAAAGTAGCATTTAAAAATGTTTAAATTCAAATTTCCTAAAAAAATGACACAAGTAAATTTACAAGTGACTATATTTCAAGAGAAATCAATCAGTTAATATTAGGAGGTGGGACATTAGGGAGTAATTAGAATTAGATGAGGCTGTGAGACTAGAGCCCTCATGAATGGGATTAGTGCCCTTCTCAGAGTTAGAAAAGACGTTGCTTCCTTTCTCTGCTCTGCCATGTGAGACACAGGAGAAGCCAGGAGTCTACAATCCAAAAAAGAGTTCTCACCAGAACTTGACCATGCTGGCACCCTGACCTCAGATTTTCAGGCTCCAGAACTGTGAGAAATATATTTCTGTTGTTTATAAGCTACCCAGTTTATGGTACTTTGGTATAGCAGCCCAAGCTGACCAAGTCAGTGGGCATGTGAGTTTGGAGCATCCTGGAGCCACCTTGAGACACCATGAGGAGAAAAACAGCAGATCCCTGATGCCATTTAGTCTCTTGGACCAAGCTGTATTTGAGAAACAAATTTTCCCTGGACTTGTCAATTATATATATAATCCAGTAATTTTACTGATTCTGCAGGTATTATTCTAGTCTATTAGCTTGCAACTGAATGAGTCCTCATTAATCCTAGATTAAGTAAGCAAAATATTCAAGCCTTTAATACCAACCATTCATTTAAAGTTAGTAATACCTCAATAGGAGTTTAGAAGAAAATGTGAACAGAAATTTATATTAATTTAATGTTCTTCATTTTCATACGGATTCATGTGAAAAGAATATTATTATTGGGAACCACCATGTGGTTATATTCTTGGTAAAATATGGCAGGCTTTGAATGAAGTTCTTTTCATACATCATTTCATTTAATCTCTTCTATACAAAGTTCTCATTTTTAACTTTTTTCTGTTACTTAACTTATTTTACTTTAAAATATTTCAAATGTAGATATAAAAAATATACTAAAATTCCTCTACCATTCAATTTTATGCCAGATTTGCTTCAAATATGTTTTAAACACAAATATAAATAAAACATGTAAAATTGAGGGCTCTCTCTCCAGTCATCATGTCTGTTCATCTCTACCAAGTTGTAACCTTTTCCACAAGTAGTTGTCATTTCTATGTATGATTTTATACTTTGACCACATAGTTATTATTGAATAGACATTCCATAATTGGATTATTTGTCTTTAAACACTATAAAATTGCATCATACTGTGCTGACTCCTCTGCATCTTAACCTGTTTTTTAACTCTTCAGTATATGTTGGAGAGTTGTCTACACCTTAGTTTATTTCTTTAAAGTTGCCACATGTTGCCACAGTTGATCTTTAACTGTTTTTTGATGTCAGCATTACCTACATGTTGAAAATTTATAAAAAGGATTATATAAGAAAGTGAAATTACAAGCCAAACTCATTAAATAACTAGATGTAAAATTCCTAAAGACAATATTTACCAGTATATGAATAGGAGCAAATATCATGGACAAGTTTTCTTGATTCTAGGAATAAAAGATTGTCTTCATGTTTTCTAAAAACCAAAGTAATCTACATTTTAGTAAAACAGAGAAGACAATCAGATTGTGTCAATAGATGAATAAAAAGCATTATATAAATTTCATTATCCATTCTGGGAAAAAATAAAACTGTATCTTTAGTTCTGCTTTATAGCATTTTACTTTCTGCCATTGAGGCATACAAATTATAGAAATAAATTTTATAAAGGTTTTCATGCAAGAAATAAGTTATTATTTTCAGAGAATATGATTATGTTCAAAAACTTTTTTTAAAGAAAAGTAAAACCAGTGACTAGGATTACAATGGCCTAAAAAGTTGCCAGGTACCAGATCAGTATACAGAACTCATATACATTTCTGTATACTATCAACAAACATACAATAAATATTATGTACCATCTAAAATGTCTCTACCAAAATCAAATATATATGAACAAATCTAATAAATAACGCCTAGGACATCTTCCAGAAAACTGTAAAGTAGAAAAGTAAAAAGAAAAGAAAAGAAAAAAGGCTAAGTGAATGAAAGGAGATTCCTTATACATGAACTGAAAGATGTTGATCTCCATAGATTCAATGACATAATCCCAGTAAGAATCTCTAGGTCTTTTGTGCAGGTATGTGTGCAACTTGAAAAGCTCATTTTAAAATACACATTGAAAATCTATTGGCCGAGCACAGCAAAGACACTGTTGAAGTAGGTAAATGCGTGGTGATAAAAGTTTGGCAAAGAGCTAAATGTAGCAGAATAGAGAGCTATGAAACAGCCCTGCATACAGATAGACAGTTGATTTATGACTGAGGGATTACTGCAGACAGTAGGGCAAGAACACGGCTGTCAATACATAGTGCTGGAAAATCAGACATCTGTGGAAAGGAAAAACAAAAACAACTTTATCCTTATTAGATACTAAATATCAAATTCATGTCAGGTTGGAGGAGGGCGAAATTCATTTAAATGCAAAAGGAAAAGCTATTGAAATTCCGTAAAATAATACTGGAGATTATTTTCATACCTCTGGGTATGAAAAGGACTTCTTAAATAGGATACAAAAAGCTCTTACCATAAAGGAAAAGGTGGATAAATTGGACTACATAGAAATTAAAAACTTATTTAAAAAGAGATCACCCTCCTTAAGGAATGGAAAAATAAGCCAATGAATGAAAATATTTATTTAGAATGCATGTATCCTTGATATATAAACTACTGCTACTATATTTCCATTGAGAATTTTTAAAAAAAACCAGAAAAAATGGGTTAGAATCATGGCGGATACTTCACAAAATGGATATCCGAATGGTCACTAAGGATATGAAAAGATGCTCATCTTCATTAATAAGAAGAAAAATGAGAGTTAAAACTACAAGATACTTCTACAATATTCATGAGAATGAGTAAAATTAAAATGTCAGATGAAAGCCAAATGTTGGTAGGGATGTACAGCATTAGGAGATCACATTAAAATACTCGTATATGAGAAAGGTTTAACACTGTTTCCTATTGTTGAAGCTACACATATTCTAAGTCAAAATCAGACACTTAGATATGTAACCAGTAGGAATTGTCCAACAGCAGCAATATGCATAATCAGCATGAAATTTAATCATCCATCAATATTAAAATGGATAAACAGATTTTTTAATAAAATAGAATAATATTCAGCAGAGAAAATGAACAAACATACATTACTATAGTTAAATCTCATAAAACAAATGTTGAACAGAAGAAGCCAGACAAAAAAATGTAAATACTATGTGATTCTACATATGTAACATTCAGAATAAGGAGAAATTCAACTACACTGTTGTTAAAAAAGAGACAAAAGGGCTGAAAATGGAGTCACCTGGGCTAAGCCCATGTCACCTAGTGGAGACTCACTACCTAACATAATTGCAGTTTCAGCTTCTCCTAGGAATGTAATCTTAACCAGTCTGTCTGGAATTACCTGATCAGCACTAGTGAGGTAATGTGCCTTACAGGCCCTTGTTATCTCCCAAAGGAAGGTGAATTTGCCTGAAATAATCCATTCTTTGCTAGGAGTTTCCTTTTCCCACCCGCTTCTGTCAATTAAAGCTTTTCATTTTGTGCAGCTCCTTGGAGCTCCTTTCTATTTGCTAAGATGGGATGCTGCCCAATTCATGAATCTTTAAATAAAGCTAATTAGATCTTCACATTTAGGCTGTTAAATTTTGTTTTTTAAGTGGTTAGCCACATACTTAGTTGGTATCTAACAAACCAACTTACGTTATGAAGAGAAGTCAGGAAGCACTTCTGTAAAAGTCAGGATAGTGGTTACCTTAGGAGGGGAAGGGAGAGTTAAGTGGTTTAGACAGGACAAGATGAAGAATGGGTTTTTGAGGGTGTCATTTACTATTTGTTCTCTTGATATGGGTAATAATGACACGGGATTCATTTTGCGATAAACAAAGGACTAAAGCAAAGCAAAACAAAAAATACACAATCTAAAGCTGTATTCCTTACCAAAATATCCTTTAGGTTACCTGGACAGTGAGAATCAAATAGGTATTTTAGATTAGAGTTCTCATGATCTAATATAGTTTAGTGTTTTTTAAAAATACATATACACACACACACATGATTAAACTGATGGTCTAAATGTCCCTCTCATTTACAACTTTTTAATGACCTGCTGAGTAGCAGCCTTGGGCAATCTTTAGATTTTACTAAATCATTCATTAAGAGAGGAAACTGTAAG